GAAGAAGAAGAAGAGGAGGAGGAGGAGATTGGATTTATACCCCGCCCTTCACTACCCAAAGGTGTCTCAGAGCGGCTTACAAACTCCTTTCCCTTCCCATCAAGAGCCTGGCTGCCGCATTTTGCACTAGCTGCAGCTTCCGGATCTGCAAAGATGTAAAATTATTTAGGTTTTGAAAGATCACCCACCTTAGACCCACGAAGCTGCCTTCGACTCAATCAGACCCTTCCCCCATCAAAGTCAGCCTCATCTCTTCGCACTGGCAGTGGCTCTCCAGGGTCTCAGGCAGTGTTCTCTCTAAGCCGAGTCAGTGCGAGCCGGCTCACAGTCTTTTAGCCTCCGGCTCACACATTTTTGCCTTTGCCCGGGAAGGGATGGCTCCGGAGCAAACTAAGTTATGCAGCAGCCAGATCGCTCGCTCACAACTTCAAGGCCAGTAGCTCACAAAGTAGAATTTTCGCTCACAAGACACCACGGCTTATAGGGAGCGTTGGTTAGAGGTCTTTCCCATCCCCTTCAGTTGGAGAGCCAGTTTGGTATAGTGGCTAGGAGTGCGGACTCTAATCTGGGAGAACCGGGTTTGAGTCCCCACTCCTCCCCATGTGGCTGCCGGTGTGACTTTGGGTCAGTCACAAGTTCTCTCAGAGCTGTTCTCTCACGAGCAGTTCTCCCGGAGCTCTCTCAGCCTCGCCTACCTCACAGGGTGTCTGTTGTGGGCAGAGGAAGGGAAAGGAGTTTGTAAGCCGCTCTGAGACTCCAAGTGAAGGGCAAGTGGAAGAAATCCAACCTCTTCTCTGTTCCTGCCTGGTCCTTTTGAATGGGAGATGCTGCTGGGGATTTGAAAAGTACGCAGACGGAGAGTGATTTCAGCAAAGCGTACTTTCTTCGATCAGGAACAAGACGACTTTGGCCGGCTCGCAGGCCAGCTTATATTTCCCCCGAGAAACCGCCACCCAAAACACCCCCCCACTTCCCAATAGGTTATTTATAGTGGCCGAGAGTCCCATTGGCTCTCGGCCAGGAACCTAGCCCCCTGATTGGTGTGGGCTAGGATCCACGTAGTCCATTGTCTCTTGGAGCGAAGCTCGATGTTTGTCTCTGGACTTGTCTGGACTTATCAGGGCTGGAGACATTACAGGATTGAACCTGGGACCTTCTGCATGCCCAGCGGATGATCTGCCCCTGCACCGCAGCCCCTCTCCAAATTTCTGGAAAGTGCCGTCAGGTTGCAGCCAAGGTATGGTGACCCCGCAGGGTTTCCAAGGCCAGAGACTTCCAGAAATGGTTTGCCGTTGCCTGCCTCTGCGTTTTGCCGCTGGCCTCCCTTGGTGGTCTCCCATCCAAATACTAACCTGGGCTGACCCTGCTTAGCTTCTGAGGTCTGACGCGATCAAGCTACCCGGGTCAGGGCATCCCCAGGCCAGGAGGAGAAGGACTAGGAGGTTAGACACTGTCTCACCATCTCATCCTTTGCCGTCCCCGTCTTCTTTGACCTTCAGTCTTTCCCACCAGCTAGTTGAACTTAAATTCTTTCCTTTATATAAGATGGTTGCTAACTCACCTGTATTGCTGGAAAACACGTGATTCCAAACAACTCTTATTACAAAGATCTGTTATATTTTTAAAAGGCTCTTACGGGTTGAGAATGTTGATTATCGCATGGTATTAATATGTGTTCTGAATGTACTGTTGTATATATGGTTTAAGATAATTAAAAAAAACACTCATTTGAAAAAAAAAGAAGAGTTTTAATTTAAATAGTTACGTTTTAAGTAGAATATCAAGAGTATCATTAATGTTACAGAGTGTGCATTGTATCTGTAAAGGTAAAGGTAAAGGTTCCCTTGCTCGAAAGCCAGTCGAATCCGACTCTAGGGTTGCGGTGCTCATCCCCGTTTCAAAGCCGAAGAGCCAGCGCTGTCCGAAGACGTTTCCGTGGTCATGTGGCCGGCATGACTAAACACCAAGGCGCACGGAGCGCTGTTACCTTCCCACCGAAGTGGTCCCTATTTATCTACTTGCAATTTCTTGCTTTCGAACTGCTAGGTTGTACTCGTTCCTTTATTAATTAATGAATTATCTTTTGGTCTTCTGCTCTACAGGACTGCTCTGTGTGTTTTCTCAAATGGGTCCAACACCTTTGGGACCCCCCCCGCTCTCCCCAG